CCCGCAATTCCTGGTGCCAGAGCTTCCGAGGCTCGCACTCCCGAGTGCGGGAGCTTCCGAGGCTTGCACCCGCCCCCGTGGCAGAGCTTCCAAGGGTCGCACTCCCGAGTGCCCGGGACTCCCCTGTGATTCAGAGCTTCATTACCGTTTATCACTTGTGGCCACGTAGATGTTGTCCTTCGTCCATCCTGTCGAGTTTTCTCCACCGCACGATCTTCCCTGTTTGCCTATCTCGGTCCCTGTTCGGGTGCCATTTGTGGGCGGGATGGAAAATTTTCACAGTTTCTCACTCCTAACTTTCACCATTCCCACAGCTTCCTACAGTTTCTCACGGTTTCTCAGTTTCCCACAAGGAGGGATTAGAGTTAGAACATTAAAGCTAAGATTGCCTTTGTGTGACTATAGATAGAAAGATTTATTAATTCTTGGCCTTTTAGTTTGACCTGTGTTGTGTGTGTATTTGTGTGTGGTGTGTGGGGTTTTGTTTTTTTTTTTTAATAAAGTTTTCTTTTCTCCTGTGTCTTTTAAGGCTACTTCAGTTTTGTAATTTCTGTTGTGTCGCTGATCCAGACCTTACCTCTTGTCAGAGAGTGTGCTGCAGTCAGAGCACCAGCTGTGCAACACTAGGAGCATCCCACAACTGACTAAAGCAATCTGCCTCTTTCCTTCTACCTTTTATTTCAATATGTACTACGTGTTTGCCATCTGTGACTGTCATGAAAAGCTAAAATTCAATTGAACTTTTTAATTAGATTTATGTAAAGGGAACACATGTCTAGTATAACTTTTAGGAAGATGTGGATAGGAACAAAAAGATAAGGTATATCTCAAAATTGTGACTGTGAATAACTCAAAAGTGGTGATGCAGCAAGGAGGCAGAATCCAGGCTGGATGGGATTTTGGAATGCCTAAGGAAATTTATTAAGCCCACCATAAAAGATAACTGAATGGAATTTGTTCTGTTCATTTTTGTACCATTGTGCTTCCAGCTTTGTAATGATTAATACAACATGGGGCTTTCTTTTTTTCTGTGGGGTCCTCCCAAATAAACTTGCTAGAGTCAAAAAAAAAAAAAAAAAAGCCTAAACTCTAGTATGATTAGAGATGTACTTTGACAATACTGTGAATGTGAGACTGTTTTTCAAACAACAGTCAGATTGAGTGGTTTTACCCTCCAGGTGGGTAGTTACTTTCAGGAAGTTGCTAGACATGATGAATTTTGAGAGTGCTTCATTAGTCACTGCACCCCTCCCTCATGCCCCCCACATGTCCCAAGCCCATGACTGTTTAGCGTGATGGTGCTTCCAAGTGCATATGTTCCGTGCTATTGTTGGATCTCCAAACTAACACTAGCCTTATAAAAGGAGGCAAAAAAATGGGAGCAAAGCAAGGTAGGTAGGAGAGAAGGTCAAAACATTAAGCTTAAGACTCTTGCTTGTTCTTAACAAATTCAGTTTTGATGCTAACTTTAGATCATCTTTTGCAGTAAAGATCAAAATGGAT